GGGGGGGGGGGGGAGTGCCAGAGCGGCCCACCCGGGCACCATCGGTACCTTGCTGCAGACGGCCTTCACTCGGTGCAGCCTGTCCAGTGACTCCTGCGGGTTCCCCAGGTACTGCTGAAGCTCCGCGTGTAAGATCCTCATCGAAAAGGGCACCATGGAGCCTGGGACGAGAGCAAAGCCAAGCTAGTTAGTTGGCAGTAAGTGAGCACGCCTTCGCGCCGAACAGGCCTGCGGGAGGGAACTACCGATGTGGCAGCGGGAGGGACGCCAGCACGCCTTCCTTTCTCGGTTAAGTCTGCAATGGTGTCCGTCGTAAAACATATGCCGGTTTTCTCGGCAAAGCGCCACAAGGACCAAAGGCGAAGGCGATGTCCCTACTGTTTCCATAGCTGTGCTGTAACCATGTAGAAACCAGAGGCTGCGCCCTCCCGCGGCGAAAGCCGCCGCATCTTTTCTATCCGTTCAGGGAGGCAAGCTCAAATAGAAGGCTGCCCACAAGCCGACCCCGAAAGGAGGCCCTCCAGGCACGGGGGAGCAGGGGAGGAAAGGGAGCGAAGATGCGCCTCAGGCCCAGGTCCTGAGGACGGCGCTCAGCCTGATTCGGTGGTTTGCGTGGGTGCATGTGCGCAGCTCTGGAGGGAAAGGTCTACCTCACAGGTGCCCCGACGGGAGGCAGGGGAGCCACACGTGAAAGCTCCACCCCCAGGGCCACCCCGCAGGGGGTAATTCACGGCCACGCAGCCCTGCCCTGCCAGCGTGCTGCGGGGGAGCGAGAATGGCGCTCTGAAGAAGGGCTCACGCACGGGAGTCGAAGGGGCTGCGTCAGGTCTTGGAAGAAGGGAATCTTTTTGTGAATGTCTCTTCTGATACGGTTTGGAATCTGACACCTGGTATATACACGGAGTACACGTAAACCGTCATAATGATCAAACGGCCTGTGCTGGTTATAAAGGAGACCGTGGATATGGAAGTGACAACACGGGGCAGTCACACAGTCAGAAGAGGGCTTTTGAACACAGACTGAAGGCGTCGGTATTTAGATCCCGAATACAGTCTGGAAGACGGTCAGAAAACAAGCTGTGTGACACCTGTAAGTGACGCAGCGTCTCTGTGGCCCAGCCTGTCCCTTGGCCTAAGCATTAATCACCAGGGAGGGTCTGCCACGGGACACGCTAGCATGGCTTTTCGCCTGTGCTTCTTCCTCTTGGAACTGTACGACGCTCTAGGGTCTTTACCAGAGACTGAAAGAAAGATCTAAAGAGGGAAGGTGAAAATAAGGAACTCGACAGAAAACAGGTTGTATTGCAATTATAAGTCCGGACAAAAGAAAGATGACAATTACTGAATTTTAAATGTCTGAATTTTTTTTTTTTTGAAAAAAATTTCTTTCTTGATGACACTAAATAATTCCTATGTCTAAAAACGATGGATGACTGAGTTTACATTCTGGAATGAGTTGTTCTTGGCTTCCTAGAAAGAAAGATGTCTTGACCATCAGCATCACTAAACTTGGGACTGCGCTGACACGGGAAGTGATACACCCTTTCATATCACGTAAAGAACAGGTGACAATCGCTCCCGTGTGGGTCAGAATTCACCTGCAAAGAAAGAAGATCTCTGGAACTCTTCAAACTCTGTCAGATCAACACAGAAACAAACATTCTACTGCAAGTTCC